AGTAGAGACCATAAGAAATGACTTACAAATGACTTGCCATAATTCTGGAATTAATGGCAGTTCTTTCGTTATATCATTTTCCACAATTTGTGGCTAATCATAATACCTTAGGAGACACTTAGTAGCCATATTTTAGAAAGCAAATATCTATCTATTGGGTTGGCAACTAAGTAATTGCCGTTTTTGTTGACAGATTCACTCTATACTTTCTTTTGTTTTGTTAACGTGGCCAGAGCATCTAACCTATATTTTTTTCTTACTGTATGGGCTTCTAGGTTAATTAGTAAAAAATTTCTTTTTTTGTTTAGTTCTTTGCCCATAGTAAATTTGGACAGGATGGAAATTAAAGCACCAGAACATCAACTCTCAAAGTATAAGAAAAATGAGAAAAGAAACACTAATATGACATTGTTGTCACGACAAAGAATTCATTCTTTTTGCACCAATTTGTTAGTGAGGGCGAAAAGTGACTAATTTGCGATGGCATTTTTAAAAAAAAAAACAACGATGGTGACCTCTCGGAAATTTATTTTATACAGTTAGTGGAAAGCACGTGGGATGTAGAATAATCTTTTACGAATTTATAAAACCGAGTGGAACGGTTACAGCCTAAGTTTATCGTAAACAACTGGAAAGAAACAATCGAAACAATCGGCCAAATTTGTTTAAAAGAAGAGGGATAATTCTTCAACCTGACGACAATGCCGATTGCCTCACAAAACAAGACTGACCTCCCGAAAATTGGAAAAGTGTTTCATTTAATACAACAAATATTTCAAAAAAGGCAATCGATCAACTAAAGAATTGCAAATTGTGACCGAAATTCTGTTAATAATATCATATTTTAAATTCGAAATTTCTTATCGTTTACCAAAATACTATTTAAAGCGTGTAATAGTGACCATTTGGAGGCTTCTAGGGTTATAACAAAAAAATGTTCAAAAATTATCAATTGATTCAAAGAGAACATCATAATTAGCTAATTTAGGCTGAAATTCAACGAATTCAGTTTAGGGATTGGAAAATGAATTTGTCCAATCAAGATTATAAGTAAATTGTGCGTTTGTGCCAAAGATGTTTTAGCAGCCGTTTTCGTGATAAGGAATAAGGGTAAACAAGTAACGAGACACGCATTAGACCCCATATCCAAAAGCAGGAACATTGACCACAGGTACGAAATTCAGCCTGCGAGAATTCTGAATAACCGGGAATATGGGAGACAAATGATAATAATCATAACCCAATTTCGAGAAGGCCCCTAATCCACACCCAAAATAAGATCAATAGTAAATTCTTACCTCGATATGTTTGCAGGCAATGGCTTTTGCCAACCTAGCAGCCCTTGTGCGAGAAGTGGAACTGGTTATTCCCTCAGCGGAGAGGAAGCAGGTTGTAAGCAAACGAGAACAAATGTGGCGAGGACTTCGAGGAGTGTAGCTGTCGCTTTCACCGGTCACACGTCTCAGCTCCCTCAGAACATCTGAATTCCCATCACCGTTATTTCCTCGGTTAATTTCTTCATAGATCTGCGAAAAAAGAGATGAATTATCATTCATTTACTATCGTAATCGTGAAAGGTAAAAAATACAAATAACAACAATAAGAAGACTATAGATATTATATATTTTAGTATCAGCGCCTATCCCTTATTTCAATAAATTGGGAAATCTAATATAGCGAACACTATTGATTGGACAAAATGGTAATTCCCTTCAAATAATGTGTTTATAACAAATATATTTATTTAGTAAAAACAAAGAGTTCTTTTCCAAAGGCTTAAAAAATAAAACTTAATTGATATCCTACTTTATTCATCTGCTTCAACTTGATCTACTCCAAACCATCAATTGTTCATCCAAATAAACCAGAGGTATAGGTTAAGAGAAATAATCCAAAGCACTCCCATAATAAAGTAAGTTCAACAGGAAAGGCTATTTACTCACACGTCTGCACATATGAAAGACCAGGCAGGCCACAGAGGAGCTGTCAAGTCCACCCGAGAGGCAGAGGAAAAATCCGCCAGCTCCAGATCTCCGGAGATTGTCCCACAACCACATTGCTGGAGCATTGGCAATTTCTTCCTCCACCAGGTGTTGGGGGAACCAGATACGGGGCACTGGAGTTGCTGTTTCATCCAGGAGGGGAAAATCAACATCAATACACGTTTCAGGTTTTATTATTTGCTTCATACAGGACGTTATCTTTACACAAACAGTATTTATATGCACGTCAGAAAGGAAGAATCGTTCCCCAAGAGTTATTATTTCACCTCGATCTGCTACAATAGCTCCACCATCAAAACAAGTACGACCGCCATCACAACCCAGCAAATTCGAATAGGCGTAGATATTATTTCCGTGTTTTGAAGCGCCACTAATCAGTTCCAAGCGGCGATTGAGTTTACGCAGCTCATGATGAGAAGCAGATGCGTTGAAAACTATATTAGCACCTGATTGTGAGTATATTAAATGCGGACGAGAGAAGCCATCTTCAACTATCCACAATTCTTCACACGTTTCAAGACCAACAATTGTTTTGCAGGCGAATTTGAGTATTGTGCAACCAAATGGTGCTGTTTTCTGGCCACAAACATCAGAAACAATTTTTGGAAGGTGATAAGTTTCCAGTTGCCAGCAGCTATCCCAAGGGAAAAACCATCTTGATTCCCTATGAAGACCACTATCAGCCAGAATGATTTTCGGACGAATCAATAGAATTCGACCATTTAGTAAGATTATTCGACAGTTATATCGTTGCATTGGGGACTTTTGAGTCAGTTTAAACATCACAGGAGCTCCTATATCACATACAATATCGCGGCAGGATGGATCATTAGCCGTAGCTTCAAGAATTCTGCTAACACATTCCCAAGAATGTAAATAAGTATCAATTTCATAGAAATGATCTTCACACCCGTAACTTGTAATGTCAAGTTCTGGACCAAGGCGATATTTAGCACCAGAAGCTTTCGCAGCACGAATACTTTTTAAAATACGTTCAGTATTGCCTTTGAAATCCAAAACCCATTGATTAAGATTGCAAATTGAAAATTTTAACATATTCTAAAACTGAATAAAATGCGTGATTTTAAATGAAAATTTTATAAGCAGATTATAGTTACGAACGCTCACGTCTTTAGTGTGGAACGGTGTGACCTTGAATTAAATTTACGCATGTTCTCAAGGCGTAAAAACAAATCGAAGTTAGTTATTTCAAAGTATTAATTGTAAATGATTTTCAAACAGTGAACATGATTTTTATGAAAAATATTGAAATGCATGTCTTTTAATTTCTTTGCAGCACGCATTCCTGATCTCAGTGCCTTCATAAATTACAGTGGGTATTTGCGTAACGTAATGTTTTGTGATAAATTTTTTTCTTTAGTCAAATAATTTCTCCATGAAATGCCTCCGATTATTTAATCACATCACTATTTACAACCGAAATTTAATTCATATTATATATTTGCTATTTTCACATTTTTCTGATATAAATAATCCTAGGCCTTATGTTACAAGACCTTATTTTGTATCTTGATGCAATTTAAATAAATAGTGCCCTTTGTTTAGTAACCATAAAATAGGAAGTATATGTTCCAGCATACTTCCCCTTCTTAAACCAATAAGATAAGAAAATAAGGCTCTAAATGATAATTATGAAGTATGATTAATGTTCACTTACATCGAGAAATAAAGTAACATAATTAAATATCATAATATTTAAAAGAGTTCTGTAAAATAAAGGCTCTTTTCTCATTATGCTTTCCCTGATATCTCTGGCGTCTCAGTCTCTCGTGTCCTGTACCTGAAGAAAGCCCTTGAATCTCTCATGGTTTACTCTATATCAAAATATGTTCAGTAGGCAGGAAACGAGTTCATTTTTTACTTAAACTGAATAAAGGTGGTATGTTGATATTTGTCTCGTATAAGCCGGGTAGCTTGGCTCCAGAGTTTTAGTAACACGAAGCTACTAGATTCTGGGAGCATTTATGAAGTGCTCATCAGGATCATGGTTTAACGAAGAAATCTCATGTACCTCCAAACTGATTCGAAGATGCGGCCGGACTACCTGTCTTGTGGGAAGCAAGTGCGGTTGTGAGGGCAGAGTTCTTTGAGTTAGCCACCAATTAATAGTCTCTGCGTTGTTTAACTAGCCCTTCAATGTATTTTAATGGTAAGGGTATGTGTGACAGATATGCATCTCAAATAAACGCCTTTCACAACGTACGTCTCTTTTATCTATGTTTCAGAGAAAACCTTTCCATAGAGGCTGCGAAGACTTAGTCAAGGCCTGCTCGTGTAGCAGTCCGTTACATATCCAGGCAACTGCAGAAAGCTCTTAACTTGAGCCAAGACAATGTCTTTCCACATGTCTTTGCATGCGTTAAGGAGAAATATTTTTTAAATAAATTATTTTGTACAATACAAATATGTTTCTTAGTTCTATAATTATCATAAAATGCAGGATAATTCATACTACGTTGTTTCCAAAATGCCATTTAACGAGCTTGTCGTGAAGATCGGTAAATAATCGATATAATTCTTCATTTATTTCTCTGATACTATGCAGAATGGCATACTTTTGGTACTTTAAAAACGATTCTAGATAGCACTACCTTTTGCAATCTGTCTTAAAGTCCATAGCTCTAAAGTCTTTCGTACGTATCACGGATGGGTCTACGGAATTTAAATAAATTGATCGAAATTTGCTAATTTGTCAATTTATATTTTTTACAAAACACCACAGATTAATTCGGATACTTTTTAATTACTTAATTTCTGGCAGAATACAAAATCTGTTTTTCGTAATTTTCATACATTATGAGATTTTAAAATACCAAATTTAGGAATTCAATCCTCAGTTTTATATATCGTAAAATGCGCATTTTCTTGTCTTAAACTTAAGCGTTGTCTGTCATTCCAAACTCAACAGTATGTTTGCATAATGTTAGCCATGAGAACTGTTGTGGGAATTTGTACTATTTCGTTTAAATGGGAATGAGTTAGCAGACATTCATTCGTGCTTGATTTAGTAAAAATATTATCGGCGTAGTTTGAGCTTCGTGGATATTAAAAGAAATTTGATTAGCTTAATATTGCATGGATTGAGAAATTAAAGAAGTCGTTTAGCATACCCAACACAAACTGAACAATGAGCAAAGAGGAGACATTTGAGCATTTCCAAAACTAACTGACTGACTAACTAACTGAATTCATATACATACGCTTTGCTGTCCCTCCTATGACTGAATGAATTCCGCAATCTCTGAACTGCTACGACTGTCAGACATATACATAACCACAATGAACACTATTCACACCTTACTTCCTCTTTCCTCGTTATTGACGACGCAGCTCGGTTAATTTCCGGTGCCATTTCGTACTATTGACTTTTGGCCTAGAAACTGCTTAGTTTTAGTCAACTCTTGTAAGGAAAACTCTAAAAATTATTTTGCAATGAATAAATGTCCTATGTGGGAGTAATTTCAGTATAGTACATAGCCTATATTGAGGCTGATGGTGGCTTTTATGAATGCGTGTAATGACATGCATTTGCTTTTCCTGGAGTTATCATAAACTAGCGGATGTATTACCTTAGCTGACAGCACAGAACTCTAATTGAGAAGTCATCGAATTTGTTGGAGCCCTTCTGACCAAAGCACCACAACAACTACAAGCATGCCGAAACAAGTACGATTAGCTGTATTATTTGAGTAATGCATTGTCGAACATGATGCATGAAAATAAGAGAGCGTGCTTGAAACAATTGAAATAAGCTAAGACGAATAAAAGCAAGGTTGTGTATGATTGAGATAAATGAAGTGAATATTATATGCAAAGTATTTAGAATATATGTTAAAAAACAATGCTTTTTATGCATAATTGATTTTAGTGATTTAACTGGACAAAATGTTAGCAAGGACACACGGTCTGACATTTTTTTATATTAACTGGTTCGGGGTGTGCGATAGACTTACCTCCGCGTGGTGCACCCTGGGCAACTTATACTCATACGGCAAAAAAGTCTATTAACTGGCAGTTGACCTCTGACTTCAAACTTCCATAACCCCACTGTATGTCATATTCGACACCTTCCACAGTACTCACCTCACCTTTTCTCTACCTTTGTGTCTATCTGTCTCTTCCACATCTGTGAATCACTCTTCTTTCCCCCTGTCGAATTTTTCTCACTTTAATGTTCCTCCCTTCTGTAATGCCCGAAGTCAACTATAGGGCTAATAATAACTATCAAAATGCCTGCCATTTGAAATAAATAAATAAATATGAATATTAACTGGTTCTAAAGTGTC